GCACCAGCCCATGAGGGGTTGAGCGACGAAGCTCGAGTAGGCCATGCCTATGAACCCGCGCACAAACGCACACGCATCTCAGCACTTTCATGATCACTTCATGATCACAAAAATGCTTGGGGGCTACTGTCGGGGTTATAACCCTAGGGTGTCTCAAGGAACTGATTAGTTGGTAGGCCACGCGACCCACAATATGTCAGCTAGCAAAGGCCCAAATGACTGAGGCCCAGCTGAGCTAAGCAAACCAAGCCAGACGCCAAGGCCAGGATCAACCATGACTCCTTCCTTTCGTTTCATCCGCATAACAAAAGAAGACTCATGACCTCTTCACCATCATGACCCCTGGGAGGAACGAGGAGAGATCAAGCCCAGCCAGACGCGCCCACTCTTGCAAAGGTAAGCATGCTACTCTGACTCCTCAAGGACCAAGGGGATAGCGGTCACCTTGGTCTGATCAGACGCCATGACTGCGCCACGCTGTGTAGACAAGACAACACCACATGGCGGTGACGACCGGTACAATAACCATCGGCCAAATATGGCCCAATAAGACCCATGTATGACTCCACCCACCACGTGATGAGGTCCACAACGAAGGCCTTCACTTAGGGGCCATCCAACTCGGTGGGAGCCACAAGCCCAATGATCGAGATCGTGGCCCTTAGCTCCTCAAACCAACAAGGCGAACGATGACCCAGGGGCGGCTACCAACTCCTATACGACGCCCTAGGAAACTAGGAGGCGATGACTAAGACCACGGTAAGGACCATGTTGCACAGGACGGCTGGCGAACCACCACCGTGTCTACAGTGCCGCCATGGCTGGCACAGTAGCACCACATCACACCATGCCACGACGTGGCCACAGACCATGACGACAACCACGCCCAGACATGCTCCACAAGACGGCGTAGCTTCTAAGCCAAGTTAGCTAGCTAGGACCTCCCTCAGGCTCACGATCCTTCGGTCGGGAGAACCTTCTTCTTTGTATACACCCTGGCCCCGAACTCTATATAAGGGCGGCCAGGGCACCCCTCTGGGGGATCCAAGTCCAATTCTGATCTATCTATCATTCACTCATTCTTACACTATAGAAGGGCTCCTAAAGCTTCTCTTTAGGTAGCCCATCTCCTAGCTCTAGATATCCTACCTCTTCCACCATTCTTGCACCTCCCATTGTAAGAACTTCATAGCATTCAAGCGAGGAACACGCGCTCGATCATCTCTGAGACTGGACGTAGGGCTCCGGTCTGAACCAGTATAAATCCTCGTGTCTTTTGGATGCTACCATCGTCTTCCTAGAGCAGCGTGGCAATCGTATAAGTTTACTAATTCGGTTTACAAAACACCGACACACATGTTGCAAGTGTATGTTCCAAATGTTTCATCTGTTTCAGACTTATATTGCACTCAAGTGTTTCATGTTGCAAGTGTTTCGTGTTTCAGAGAATCATGGGGGCACGGACCGGGCTCCGGGGGAAGGGGCACGGTGAGCCGAGGGCTGGTGGATGGGGCACGCAGCATGCCTGGGGTTCTGTGGACGGGGTGTGCTCGTCCTCATCCCGGCTACCGAGTCCCGCCCATGCGGAGAGAGATGAGGGCTTCAAGGAGAAGGTGCGGTGGGCGCGGGGCAAGGCGAGACAGACGGGGGCAAGGTACACGTGCGTGGCGGGACGAGGCGGACAGGGAAGGACTGCAGCGATACGATGGGAGTGCGGCGCGTTTTGCTGGGCTGTTCAGTACCGTCCGATGAAATCCTATCCTATCATATGTCCGGACGTCAGCAATTCCCTTTTTTTTTGTCCTGGTTTCCAGTTAACTCTGAAGGATCCTTCGATCATTTAACACTGTAGGTAGGTTAATAGTTCTGATTCCATTTCACTTTACCGTTATTCACATTGTTCCTATGCAGAATGTTATATGTGTGGACCTGAATATTGGATTAAATTAATATATTTTAGCTAACCATGTTTATTTGCGGGCATGAGATATATTGTAGTGACCAAAGTGACTATATTCACTTTATGTATAATATAATTTTAAACGGCTACATAGTTTACATGATACATTGGATCACAACATCTAGTGTACATTAATTGCTTGAACTTGTCCACGAAACATTGCAATGAAAGTCCCCATTGAGAGAGTATGCAAAGCTGACATGTTAGTTTAGGAAACGAAACTCACCACACCTAACTCTTTCCTTTGGAACTGTTGCAAATACTGGAAGTGTTTTGGTTATTAAAAAAAATCCAAACTTTGGGAACTTTCATTACGGACATCTTTTTCTAAAGGACAATGACAATCACGTGCATATTCCCTTTGGAATGTGCTCCTTATAATTTTACTATGTAATAGAAATACATTACAAATAGAAATTGTTAATCAAAGTTGTGTTATATCAATGTCCCGAAATTATATTTTTGGCTGACGGGGGTAGCAAGATCAAAGTTCTTATTTTTTTTCTAAAAAAAACACGTGTAAATTTGATAATAAGCTGTTGCCGAAGCCCAACAAGAATCACATGAAAACCACCCACGAAGCTCACTCGTGCTGCTTAATCCTTTGGCCGATATTGTTTTAATTACCTTGCCAAGCTAAAAGACTGGCGTGCTGTTTGGTTCGGCGAGAGGTACGGGAACGAAAATGGAACGCATTCACGCCGCTACCTGTTGCAGAGTAATCACTACCGTATTTTGTTTGGTTCAGTAAAATAGATATGCGGTCGCGCGCAGGAAGTTGATAACCAGCCCGATCGGCTGGGGCTGGCTGGCAGCCCCATCACATGGATACTATTTATATGATCCAGCCAATAGTATTTCTCTCTCGTATAAATGAACCAGCAATAATACGAACCAGCCAACCGAACAGGCTGAATGTCGAGGCGGGAGGGGTAACACACTTACGAAGGGCCGTAATCCATTAACGTGGGAACCGCCTCCTGTCCAGCTCAACCGAACTAATAACGGGGCATAACGCTATCCGGTACCAGCCATAGTTTTCAAGGCGTCGCCTAGGCGTCCAGACGCATACCTAGCTCTCTGGGAAACAGTGGCGCCTTATGGCCTAGGCGCCGCCTAGGCGTCCAGGTGTACCAAACACTCGCCTGGACGCCTAACCGCCTTTTAAACTATGGTACCAGCGTAAATGGATAATAACGGGGCAAAACGCACCAACCAAACAGCACCTGGGAGAGACGTGTTTGGTTTGATAGGCTATAGATCACCTCATAGTCTGTACGGTCAAGCTTTTTTCCTTGCTTTTATGGGCTAGCCAATTTGGCTTGCTCGGGCTAGCAAGGTAAGCCTTGCCCACTCAAGCAAGACGAGGCGATGCGAGCCGAGTCGGTGAAGAAACCAAGCATACTCTTAGTTTCTTTCCCGCGGGGGTGGCCCGATGCTCTCCTATACTGGCGGCAGCGAGAAATCTTTCCCCAATTTCGTTATTCATTCCATTGCAAGTTGCAACCAAGGCTAAACTTTCCCCTCAGCACCCCATATCCATGAATTTATAATCTTTTTGTGCTCTATATTCTATAGACTTTTTATCCATAGTTTTAAAATGTTCCACAATGTATCTTTGATTATTCACATAGCACCAATGAAATGTTCTATGATATATTTTTAGGCTATTTGAGTAGTATCCGTGTGATAATATTTTTTTATTTTTCTCTATTACATGGTTTTTATTTTTTTCCTTTTTTATTAATTTTATTTTACCTTTCCTTTATATTTTATATGTTTTTATTCATTTTGTTTTTGTATTTAACTTATTTATTTATTATGTTTCTTCTATATATTTCATAGCATTTCCTCTGCATTTTTTCTGTTATATCACAGATATTACAATACATTCACATCTCATGAACCTAGAATTTTATTCTCTAAGATTTGAAATATCGTTACCGTACACGTGGCACATTTTCTATGAAGACAGAACATTTTATCTTGGATCTAGAACATTGCCTTTGCTTAGTAAAATAAAACGTTCTTTCTTTATGAGTAAACTATTTGTTAATAAAATTTTATCTGGATATATCCATGCAATTTTTTTGTTTTAAAAAATTATCGTAGAAGCACATCGGTGAAATTGGAATTTAATTTAGATGCTCACATATGCTTTTTTAAACTTCATGAAAATGCTTATATATACAAAATAAATGTGAGAAAATAACGGCCTAAGAAGGCCCGCGAGCAGGTGCGCTCTCGCCGGGCTGGGCCGGCCGTCCGCCGCATTTTCAGTTCACGGTTGAAACCGCTTGCGTTTGTGCGTCTCACTCTCGGAGACTCGGAACGACTGGAGGGCCGCCGCCGCCGCCCTACGCCAGGTTGAGGCGGTCTCTTCGCCGTCGACGAGCACCCACCAGGTATTCCCACCCCTTCTCTTCTCTTCCTGCTATGCGAAGCCGAGTACCCAAACCCTAACCTAAAGGCATCTGGGCATTTGATGCCTCCTAGCTTCGAAAACCTTTTGCAAAAATTATCGGGTGTACATGTGTACATCCATGTCCCTTTGCTGAGTTCGCCCCTGCTCCCAACATGGTGAATGTGAAGGGTACGGATGTTGCTCTATGTCGTTTACATCTCCTAAAATGTTATTTATCTACATTTCTTAATTGATCGTTCAAATGTCAAAAAGCCCCGATTTACTCTTCCACTCACTAGGTGTGTCCGATTATCCACACATGAGACTCCTAAATGCAAGTTTGTTCAATTGTGTTTTGCCATTACTCAAGTACCGACATAGCTCTGATTAAGTGTCTGTAGCTCCATATCCATCTACTGTACCATTTCTGGTACACTTTTCGAATGAAAGTTTATCCAGTTAATCTCCCCAAATAATCTCTTCTCTGCTGTATGAAATAGTCTGTTCAGAACTTCAGATAATGTTTTGAATCAAAAAACGTATGGCTGCATTAAGGCAATGTTTAAATAGCATCATAACTCTGCTAAACTTGTTTCATATTCTTAATTTGTGGCTCTTGCTGCCTAGGCATGCAAGATGTGGATGAGAAATGCCAATAAAGGTGAAGATGAAAAAGAGGAGAGCACCCACAGCAACACCAGCCCACTCTACTCAGGCGAAATGTCAAATAAAAGGCTCCGGTCGAAGGTGTGGGATGACTTCATACCCTCCTTCGTTGATGGGAAGGTGGCGCGGGCTGAGTGCAAGCACTGCCACCGGGTCTACAACTGCAGCAGCACCAATGGCACTGGCAGCCTGCTAAGGCACCAGGCTAATTGTAGCTCGGGGACTCACAAGAGGCCAAGGCAGCACGAACACACATCCTTGCCAGACCCAATGCAGAAGAAGCTACCTTTCTTTCCATCCAGCCAAAAGAAACACTCAGGCACAACAGATGCCTCACCTGAACAGGGGCTTACCTTGCCTGGTGTTCATACCAATGACACAAATACAAAGAACCAGGAGGTTGATAAGAATGGGTCTCATGGCAAACTTGTGGTGCCTGAGCAGAAGAATCGTGCTTCACTCAAGCAGGTCATACCTACTGGCACTAATTGCAAGAATCAGGAGGTTAAACAGAATTTTTCTCATGAAGAAATTGTCAGGGTATTGTCCATACACGGACACAACCCAAGCATGATGGAACAAGATAGATTCAAGAAACTAGTTGCTTACTTGAATCCTATGGTCAAGATCCCATCCTTCCTGTATCTGAATACACACTTTTGGAACTTGTGTCAGCAAGAAGAGTCCAAGCTCAAGGAGAAGTTAATAGCCTTGTGCAGCCGTGTTTGCTTGAGTGCTTACGTGTGGCGCTATGATCCACGTCCACACTTGGCATTCTTGTGCTTGACTGTTCACTACATCGATGACAAATGGGAGAAGCAACAAAAGATCATCAGATTTCATGCCGTGAATCCCTCTTGCAATGCAAAAGAACTGGGTGATATCATATGGGCGTCTATTATGAAATGGCATCTTGGTGGCAAGATTTTCAGCATTATACTAGATGATGCATTCATTGATGACACAGTGGCTTTGGATGTCAAAGCCAGTCTACAGAAACAGAACAAACTTGCTGCAAACCGTAGCTTCTTTGTGGTACGTTATGCAACTCATGTACTTGATCAGGTTATTCAGGTGGGGTTGGATGAGCTGGACACATACATGGGGAAGTCGGCAAAGTTTTCCAAGTATACAACAGGCCCCACTCCTTCAGTAGTACAGTATTCTAACTGCAACTATGCACCTTCAGCGAAAGACTGGAAACATGCAAAGAAAATTTGTAAAATCTTGCAGGATTTTCACAAACACATGGACTCCATGCACAGTTTTCCTAGTCCAACTAATTTTTTGACAAGTTGTGGGATGTGAAGAAAGTGGTGCATCGCAAAGCTTTTATGTACACATCAAGGGAAGAGGAAGCATTTTCTGAAGTGCAGGAAAAGATGAAAAGGAAATTCATGGAAACCTGGAGAGTCTGTTGCTTGCATTTTTTTATGCCAATGGTCATGGATCCTAAATACAGTCTGAGGCATGTCATGTCCCGTCTTCGTCATGATTGTGACACTTTTGATGATGATATGGATGATTATCTTCAAGAAGTGCTTGATACATTGGCCAGCCTCTTTAATGAGTACTCAAATCTGGTGGAAGACCATAACAGCACTTCTGGGGCTAAAACTAGCAAGAAAACTGTAGTGAGTGGAGATATGCTGATAAAGTATTTTTATCAATCTGAATATCCATATGGTGAGCGAACGTTGTCTGAATTGTATCAGTACTTGCAAGAGCCATGTCTGACAGGTGACTCCAGTGTTCTCGAATGGTGGAAGGAGCATGACTTGACCTATCCTACAATTGCTCGAATGGCACGTGATATATTGGCACTACCCTGCAGTATTGATTGCAAGGTAGCTTCAAGGACTGCAATAATAGCAATTACAGAGTCACGAAGCAACTACTGGGTTGAAGAGCTTGTCTGTGTTCAGGATTGGCTCAAACCAGCTGGTAGACCTGTTCTTTTCATGCCTCTTTGTTTCATCCAATCTCATTCTTATACTGACCAAAATTCTCATTTCTTTATAGGCACCACAGCTGTGGAGTCAAGCGATGATCTTTAGAAATATTATTCCATTCTTCCTAATGTTCCATGTAAGATTGTTTCCTCATTTACATTAGTTTTTGCTGCTGCCCATGGCTCATTTGGTTGCCTCTCTGATGCAGGATTCGGGGTTGACAAATCTTGTGACACTTTTGGTGGAATTTGAAGGGATTTTGTGATGCTAGACTAGGTTCTGTTGTGGTATTTTGGGGGTTTTATATGTACTAGTATTATAGAGCTTGTCAGTAGTTCCAGCTAATTTCAGGCGCTTGAGGGGGAAAAAATCAGACACTGTAACCTTAACGGCATGCTTTCTGACGATGCATGGTCAAACTGTTCCTTTATGTTTAAATATTAACTTTCCTCTTAATAGAATACGTGCCCAGTCACGTGTTTGAAAAATGTTCAAATTATTCACTTGTATGTTGCGTATGTTTCAAATGTTTCATCTGTTTTTTCAAACCTATGTTGCAAGTGTTTTTATTTGGATATTGCATATGTTTCACACGTATGTTTACAAGTGTTTTTGTCAGGATGTTGCATATGTTCTGCAATGTCTTTTCAAGTGTTTTTAGGTGTTTTCTCAAGTGTTTCAGACGCATGTTTCAAGTATTTCATCTTTCTTCAAACGCATGTTGCAAAAGTTTAATCTAGATATTTCAAAAGTAGATCGGGTGTTGTACATGTTGCAATATGACTCACCTGCCACAACGGTCTGCTACAGATGCTGGGGCGTCGTGCATGCGTGTGGGGAGCGGAGGGATGAAGCATTGCATGGGTGCGGGCGCGGGAAGTGGCACGGGCGGTCCCTGCCTACCGCGGTCGTGTAGTAGCTACGGACGTCCGGATTGAACCCTCCACTTCTTTCTATTCTTGCTATCAACTCCTTTTGTCCAAACACACCACGAAAGAATGCATGCACCGAGGAATGGATGCTATGGTCGGGCGGTACTGGCCGCGCCAACGGCCACCGCTTGAGAATGTTCGTGTGCTTCTGCTGCTGTGAGAATGGGACGTGGAGAAGGGAGATGGTAGGGAATAGGATAGTACTAGCGCCTGGATGTCTGGACGGACGCCCGCAGCTGCTGCACGCTCGCGCTGCTTTTCACGCCCGTAGCCTCGCAACACTCCTTCCCTCCGCTTCCCACATGCATGCATGGCGCCCAGCAGCTGCAGCAGGCAGCTGTGGCAGGTGAGTCACATTGCAACATGTACAACACCTGATCTACTTTTGAAACATATAGATGAAACTTTTGCAACATGCGTATGAAGAAAGATGAAACATTTGAAACATGCGTCTGAAACATTTGAGAAAACACCTAAAACATTTGAAAAGACATTGCAAAACAAATGCAACATCCTAACAAAAACACTTGCAAACATATGTGCGAAACATACACAATATCCAAATAAAAACACTTACAAAATATGTCGAAAAAACAGATGACATATTTGAAATAGACACTTGCAACATACGTGTATAGTTATTGCAACATATGCAATATCCCAATATACTTTTGCAACATCTATACGAAATAATTGCAACATCTCTCTGAAACATCTACAACAATTGAAACATACATTTGTAACATAGGGAGAGAACGATTCCGGTCGTCAAGGTGGGAGTTGGCGGCGTGCGAGCACCACCAGCACCGGCCGTGCTTGTGGGTGCCCTTGGCTTGGCTGGAGACGACCTGAGGTGCCCTGGCACCTGTGCCCAGCCGTCGTCGGAAGGGCCAGCGGCGGCGACGCATCTTGACAACGTTGGGTTAGGGAAGAGGCTAGGAAGGCACTGCACGAACTAAGGGAGGAGATGGCATGGTCGGCTTGGGTAGAGGAAGGAAGCAACGGTGGCGGCACGTGGCTGTGATGCTGCCAGCGGATATGAGAGAAACCTAGAGATGGGGAGGGCGAGACGGAGCGGAGAGGTAGAGAGACCGACGAGGCATAGTGGAAGCCGCGTCCGAACTGATGCGGGCGGACAGACGTCCGCGTCCGAGTATTTCCGATAAAATAAGAGAGAAATAAATAGTAAAAGTTTAGGGTTTCCAATGAAAAGTAGTTTATTAGCTTCTTAGCAAATCGGCTGGAATTTATAAATCCATATAAAATCAAAATCAAATATAAAAATTATGATTCAAAGTTTGTCAGATTCCTTTTAATGAAAACTATATATAATAACCTAGAAGTGATAAAACACATGTTACACGTTTGATAGAATGAGCACACTAGTTGGATTTTATAAAATCCAAATAAAATCGAGTTCAAATACAAAAACTATGATTTAAATTTTGTTAGGTTCCTTTCGACTAGAACTATAACCTAGAAGTGATAAAACACATGTTACACCTTGGATGTTTGCTATATTTTCTTTATTTTGTGAAACCGTTAGTGTATTTGTTAGAAAATTGTTGTGCTAAATAAATCCTGCAAAATTTGCTTAAGTTACTCATATCAGTGTAACACTACATTTAAAAGTTTCACCACCAGCAAAGCTTCTGTTAGGGGGTCAAAAATGATCTAGTATTTCTGTTATGATATTTTAGGCTACATATGAGCGCCAAAAAGTTATGATTTTTTAGAGTAAGCTAATGTAATCATATTATGATTTAGTGCTCATATGGCAGCGCTATAGAAACAAAGAAAGCTAAACAAAACTGATGTAATCCTAATGTGTTTTATTTGATTTTGAAAAAAACTATTATATTACTTTTATATATAACTATACTAATATATCATTTATATTGATGGTTCTATATAATATGGCAATCATGTTCATCTTATTTGCTTGATCTGTTTTGTATCAACAAGAAAGATAATGGTATATAAAAAATTATATTTATGTTTGATCATAGATAAATGGAAGTATTAAACAATTTGTAGATAGCTAAACAAACAGTCCATTGTACAAGTTGTATGTTCAGTGGTCTATGTGTGAGTTGGAGAAAACTTACAAAGAACTTATTGTTTGTGGGTTATACATGCACTAAGCTTCCATCTCATCTCTCCTAACCCAAATCATCCCACGCAAAACACAACTATACTTATCCCTGATTGGTGCCTCTCTTGTGCCATTGTTTGTAATGAGTGGAACAGACTATCTTTATTTCTTGATGGTTTTTGGTAAAAAAATTGCACCGCTGCTTGTTTCCATGGCAATCTTGCATTGGGATGATGTTTTCTTTAATCTTTTATTTCAACAGCGGGTGTAGAGATCATGATATGAGTTTTTATAAGAGAGAACTACCTCTTTTAGCCTCAACATTGGGATTATAACATTAATCCCAAAGAGTAAAAAAACTATTAGAATTCTATTATGACTAATTTTCTTACTAAATGTGAGTTTCAAAATCTTCATGAAGGTTTCAACAAATAGGATCAACATGGTACCACTAAAGGTGGTATGGACATCATAGATGACCTTCCTACTTGGTAGAAACATTTGGAAGGTGTCACATTCCTTTGCGAAACAATTCATGAATTGAGTAGGAAAAAGTTAAATGGGGGCATTTTTAAGCTTGATTTCGAGCCTATGATAAAGTGTCCTTTTTTACCCCAACAAACCATGGAAACAAAAGTATTCTTATCTTTGTGGTTTTTATGGATCAATCAATTTGTCTCTGGGGTTAATGTTGCAATAAAGGTGAATAATGATGTGGGTCTGTATTTCTAGATAAGAAAATGTTTATGAAAATAACTCAAGGTTCCTGAATGTACCATGTAATCTGCTCTCCCAATTTGACATCAGTAACAAGCACCGCCTAGGATTGACAAATACGATATCAGTGCTCAGCCAAAAAACAAGATTTCCCCACATCATTTTTCAACATTTCTCCTGTTATTATCCTAATACAACCACCTTGCCTTTAGAGACTCATGTTTTCAATCTCCTGTGATTATCCTAATATCCTACTAATCTCAGTTACATGGATGAAACCTCTGCCCCTTCACAAACAAGTCACAAACCCTGTGAAGCTGCTAACCCACCTTCGCAAACAAAGCTGGATCCCCATTTAGGTGATGCGGAAATTAAACATCAACATTCTAGGTAAGAGATGGTGCATTCTGGGACTTGCTGGAAGAGGTTTTTTTGCCTCTCTATTAGACGTTGTCTTCTCTCTTATTGTTGAATATTCTTGTGGCTGTATTGGAGTTGTAAGTGTGGTGTTGTTGACAGAGTTGTCATAGTCATGCTCTCCTGTTGTTTTCTTTTTTAACCTCTCTTGAGGCTGTTGTTTGTCTAGTCTGGATCTTTTTCTTTATTAATATAATCGTCAGCTCTCCTGTCCGATTTGTTAAAAAAAAAGAAAATTAAACATCAGCCAAAGCCACCGAGGCACTATCATGATCCAACTTTATTGAACCATCTGGTACCGAATATTTACAATTGTTTACAATTGTCTAGTTTGAATATGAGGCTATATTTTCGACCATAACTGCACAAGGCAAAAGAAAAGCAGGCCGTTAGCCGTATACTCCAGTCCAGACAGGCGACTGAGAAGATAAGCCCCAGACTTCGGTCTACTCAGAGAACCTCACGCTCGCCTGGTCCAACTCCAATCCAGCATGGCGTCTCTGGCCCTCCACCCCATCATCCCGGCCACCGCCGCTTCATCCACGACCCTCGCGGTCGTCGTTGGCTCCCGCGCCCGCCACGCTGCCACACTCCACCGCGGCTTTCGCCCGCGGCGCCTCATCACCTGCAAGGCGGAGACGAGCGGCGGCAACAGCACCCTGGAGCTGGCCGCAGGGGCAGCCGGGTTGGCATCGAGCGCGGTCGTGGCGTGGTCCCTCTACACGCTGAATACGACGGGGTGCGGCCTCCCTCCAGGCCCCGGCGGCGCCCTCGGCGCGGCGGAGGGGGTCAGCTACCTCGTCGTGGCGGGCCTACTCGGGTGGTCGGCCACCACCAAGGTGCGCACTGGGTCGGGCCTCCCGGCTGGCCCCTACGGGCTCCTCGGCGCTGCTGAGGGCGTTGCCTACCTCACCATCGCGGCCATTGCCGTTGTCTTCGGCCTGCAGTTCTTGCAGCAGGGGTCCATCCCGGGTCCGTTGCCATCAGAGCAGTGTTTTGGTTGACTCTGTAACTCATTCGGGTGATGTTTGTTACCGAGTGTGCGCTGCTATATACTACTCCGTATCTGTTTAACTTTTATTATTACTACCACACATGAATATCCATCAGTGATTGTAAATTTGTAGTGTGTTTTAGTCGATGTTTTGGTTCGGAAGCGGTATGTGGGAGAGGTTTAATGTTAAATGGGACAGCATGAGCTTTGCTTTAAAAAAATACATATAGATGTGCATGAAAAAATCAAACTAGCATTTAGAAAGGCCCAAGTAAAAATCAATTATTTTAGTATGTATGAAAAGGACGCATGTGAAAAGAATCACAATAGATATTTATACATGTAGTCTTAGTGGATAATTTTAAACATAATAAACTTTTTACAAAAATATGTAGAATTAGATTTCATATATCTAATTAAAAGCTTTTTCTCGTAGGATGTTTTCAGAACTATTACTGGTTTTTTTACCGAAAGCTATTTACGTAACTTTTAATTAAACAAATTTTATATATGATATGGCTGTTTTCGGTTTAAACCGCTATAAACACTGTTTTAGTTGTTGTTTGTTCCATGCCTGGGCAATTAAATGGGACATAGCTTTTTAAACAGAAAGGCCCCCTGCCCGTAGACACTGAGAAGGGACGCACAACAGGGGTGACAACTGAGCCCAGTCTTAGCGGATAGTTATAAGATGTTGTTTTTAAAACTGTCATGTCATATATCTAATTAATTTTTCTCTTAGGATGTTTTCAGAACTATTACTTCGAAAGCTATTCCAATTTTATATATGATATCTTTTCGGCAGCTATAAACACTGTATGTTGCATGCCTGGGCCTTCAGTACATATTTTTATACATAAGCTCATCCCTTTCTGCAGTAGCATTACACGTCACTAACCTGCAGGTCTGCCGCTCAAATCATGTCATCTCACACTTGATCGACGGGACCCGCGCACGGCCTCCAAATCACGAATTGAAAAGAAAAGTCCAAGGGCTCAAAACTTCGAGCCTTCGAAAAAATACGATAGGGTGACACAAACTAAAAAATCCTAAAGACTCAAGATTTTGATCTACTTCAAAATACGCGAGGACGAGACAAACCGAAAAGCCTAAGGTCTCAAAAACTTCGACCTTCCAAAAATACGTGAGGCCAAACCGAAAAGTCTAAGGGCTCGTAACTTTGACCCTCAGAAAATATATGAGGGTGAACCAATCTAAAAAGCCTAAGGGCTCAAAACTTTGACCCTCCAAATATATACGAGGGCGGAGCAAACCGAAAAGCCTATGGGTTCAAAAGTTCGGCCCTTTGAAAATACGCGAGGGCAAGGCAAACATTCAAAAAATTTGTTGTCTATTTTCTCTTGTACTGGAGGTTATTGTTCAGTTATTTTCTCGCATAAGCACTTCGCACAAGCCGAAAAGGGTGCCATAGCATGGTAAAGCCCCCAATATTGGCAATATACAATTAATGAGATTAAAACTAGGGCTTATCAGCTAGCCAATAGTATTTTTCTCTCACAACAACCAAAGACCTGAGATCGACCTAGAAACCAAGAACATGCCACAATGAGATGCGAGCATCACCTGCATCCATTTTGATCTCTAAGTAGACAATGATTTGATAAGAGCTCATAGACTTCGTGTTGCCAAAAATATGAGCAACAAAAGCAAAATGACTTGATATAGCTCAGTAACTTTGCGTTGCCAAAATTACATGCAATAGAAGCAAAATGCGAATCTAAGTTTTGCAAATTTTGTTTTAATTAATTTCACAAATCAACACCAGCATCATCAACTATCAGGGAGGGGCTCATTTTGTGACTCCACACCCTATCGCCTCAAAGGTGTAAGGGTCGGCGCCAAAGTAACCTAAAAGCGCCAAGGGGGCCATTTTGCGACTTCTATCCTCCTCACCTCAAAAGATATGGGGATTGATGCCAAACCAATCTAAAAAGGGTTGAGGGGCTCATTTCACGACTCCCCATCCCTTCGCCTCAAAATGTATGGGAGTCGGGGACAAATAATCTAAAAACACGAGGACTCATTTTGCAACTCCTCACCCCCTGCCCCAAAAGGAATAGGGTCGGCACCAAAATAATCTAAAAAAGTTGAGGGGCTGTTTTCGATGCCTCTTCCCCATTTTGCCCCCATGAAACAGAACAAGATAAGACACCAAAGTATTCCATCAAAGCAATCTCTCCAAGAATTGCATATTTCGCTCAGCGTTGGGCTTCGACTCCAACTTTGACATCATTGGCTATGCCTTTGTCAAAACATCCCGCAAGGGGCTTTGCCATCGGCTTTGCCGTAATCGACATCGCCTTCTCCACCAATTTAGAGCAGGGGATCGCCTCAACATCTTCGACTTTGCCTTTGCCAACATTTTGGAGCAGAGGATTGCCATTGGCATCTTTGACTTCGCCTTCGCCATCAACTGGAGTGGGGGGATCTCCATCTATGAAATATGTGACATCAACCACGTCTACGTCATTTACTTCAAGCAAGCACGCGAAAGAATTTCTAAAAAGCGCCAACCAACAAGAGGGACTGGCGAGGAGCTCAATGGACAAGCAATCCACTCAAAGACAAAACCCTTTGCTTGGGGCCTGTGAGTGAAGGCTTGAAGACATGTCGTGATGATCTACAATTACCTCGCCTACGTCAACTACTTTGCCTACTTTGACTACATCGATGTCTTCGTCAAAGGCTCATATATGAAAATAAGGTATATCTAGGGTGACTACTTCGCTTACTTCAACAACATCAATGTCTTCGGCGAAGGCCCAATTATGAAAAGAAGGTATCTAGGGCTGAAGCCCATATGAAGGAGCAAGGTACCAAAGACAAGGTCATGGAGGCTAGCCAAAGACTAGCTAAAGATAAAATCATCCATAGACTGTCTCTGTATAGACGAGAGGTACATGTCGGGATTGAGTTATAATTGGGCCACACTTAGTTATATTCAGCTATTGGGTCTTGTACTTTCAATCAAAACTGAATAGCTGTGGGGCTACTGTTGGGGGTGTATTATATGTTAGGGACCCCATTAGTATTTCCAAGGCGCACTTACACAAGTTGGGAGCTTGTAAGATAATGTTTAGGGCACATTTGTAGCTCCTAGAGGCTCTTTTATAAAATACAAGCCCACCAGAAGAAATAATGAAAACAGCCCCTTCTACCTTTCCTATAAAAGAGGGAGAGGTGGAAGGTGGGGGATGAGTCTGGCCTCTCACTCATTTAGCTCTCAATATTTTCTCTTAGTACCACTGCCTTGGCAAATAATTGTTTTCCTAGTTTTAGTCTCTTATGAACATAATAGACCACATCGCTAAAATTAGCCACTTATAACCTTAGGGAGGCTATGATGTTGTTGTAGTCGTTGATTTAGTGGCTTTCTTTCCGTGTTTGACCTTATTAACCTAGAAGATCAACAACCAATTAAATTAGCCAAAATTTTAGCCTCATAATAAAAAGGCACAGGGAATATTTAGACTAGTATCATAATAATATAACTAGCCAGGGCCCCGCGCGGTGCCACGGCCCGCGGGCGATAATAGTGAGAAATATATGCAGAGAATCTATTGTTCAATGTTTCGCACAAAATGAATTGGCCTACGTTGATATGTAAAAGAATTACCTTTTTTTAGGAAATAAATTGTCTAACCTAGTATAAAAAAACATTAGCTTTTTGGGAGTGTGTAGCATTGAAAAGGAAGAGAGCAAAAGTAGCGAAAAAACAGAAGTACGTTAAAAAGAAAGCAGTATGTAGCACGGAAAGAATAGAGCAGTAGGAAAGGGGAAGAAAAGGGAAAAATCATTCGCTGTAATAGTCGGGGTACTGTATCGAAAGGAAGATGGAGCATGGGTTGGTACAGTAGTCAAGTACTGCTTATTATTAAAGGTTGCTAATGTTTGAAGGGTATGTACTGTTGTTAACGAGTAAGTGCTTTTTGAAACGGTTTTATATTGTTGCAAATGGATGAAAGGGCGTTAATGGTTAATGGGTACGTTCTGCTGTTAACTGGTATGCACTGTTGCATAACAGTTAACACTGTTCCAAAATAGGTAATTACTGTTTGTATCATGCGGGACTGTTCACGAGACTGTTACTGTTCTGGCAACGTTTTTTGCGAGAGGGTAGTGTTTATGAACAGTGATCTGTGAGGGATGGGGTGGTATATAGCTCTTGGAGTATAGGGTAGATAACTAAATTTAGATCACGTACCTGTATCAATTATCGGAATGATAAAACTATCAAAAGCATCTATGTGGACTTTTCCATGTGGACTGTAAGCTGTCCCATCAATGTTATCAAGAATGTTAGTACTCCCTATTTAAACTGACAGCCGTAACATATAACCCCACGTGACTCTCCTACTAGTAGCACTAAGCAACCCTTGTAAAGGTGGAACTCTTCGGCTCTATATGTATGGGTGAACACTTGGTTGATTTCTGAATGTCTTAGCACCCTTAGGCTCTTTTTTATTTTCATGGGCATCCCATTACATATCAAATAGTTGAGAATCTGTTTAATTTCACTTCCGTTAACAGAATATAAGCCTGCTTCTTCTAACTTTATCTTCAAAGCAATCAAATCTATAAAATTTGTATGATACTTGTCACCTGACTTAACAATAACGTATCTTAAGGGCATATTTCACGGCAACAACTACACAGGAGCCTGAAAAACAATGAAAAATGAAGAAATTGATTACACCTTTATATTAATCTCAAATCAAAGGACAAAAAACTTGGTGCAGAAATTGTATATGAAAGGACATTACTTACCATCATCTTGTCCTTGGGGATTTTTTTAGAACAAGTGATCTGTTGTGATAATAGAGTCAAATCATTAATGGAAACATTTTAACCATTTTTCTTCTTGTAAAACCATTATTTTTGGCCCATATTCCCAACTTTGAGAATTTCCTTAGCCCCAGCAATACAAAAGTTATGTTCCTAATGACAAAAACAAAGAAAAGGGCATTAGTTAAGTTGTCGCAAATAAGCTAAAAAATGTTAGCTTGCCCAATGCTTTTGTCTTTATTTGAAAGAATTATTATTATCAATTGTAGATGAGATCAAATGTAGCAATAGAGTGTTCTAGACTTTCCCCAAATTCCACATGGTACCTGGGTTGGTATTGGCGATGGTGAAGGAGATTGACTCGCAAGCAGCGTTGGAGGCTAGTGCGGCCCAAGGCTCAGGTGTTGATGGAGGCCATGAAGGAGGAGCGAGTCACGGGCAAGGTATCTCACGGTGGCGCTAGACTTGCTCAGGCGCGCCCAGTAGAGGTGGCGTGCGAGAATGGGGCCGAGGTCGAGGCGTGGCTTCAACAACCAATGGTCGTTGGCTCCGCCATCGAGGAGGCCCTGTGGCGATCCGCTGCCCTTCCTCCAAACGGCCATCAATGTCGCCCACCGCAGGTCTAGCCTGTTCCATGACCCTTCGGAGGTGAGCAAGGTACCATGATGGCGGTGGCCGTCAGGGCGCAGGTGGAGGCCGAGGCGCAGAGGGCTGCCAAGGAGGCGGTGGTGACGACGAAGAAGCTGGAGAGCTCAGTCGAGAAGTACAACATGGTGATGGTGGATAAGAAGCAGGCAACGGCAGCTCAGCAGGTGGCTGGACTGGAGGCTACGACTGCAAAATTGGAGGCCAAGAGCTCAGAGCTGGAGATGAGAAAATTGGAGACGTATTTGAAGGCTTCCAGGGTGTCAGCAAGTCCTGTCATGTCCCAGAAGAGAGTACTGGAATCCAGCTTCGGCAAGAACAAGAAGAACAACGTTTACATGCAGGAGATGGAGGTGAAGCTTCATGGGCAATTGCAACAATTGGAGGCTATGCAATCCAGCGAGCTGGATCGAAAGCATGTCGCATTGGTCGCTGAAATGGCTACACTCAAAGTGAGATTGACCAGGAGAAAGCCAAAGTAAAGAAGCTGGCAGAGCATTTTACAGCAAAGGAACTGGTGGAGCTAGTTCAAATATTTTTAGCAAAGAGTTCAGAATTAATGTCAGTTTCACAAGGGCCTAATGATGGGAAAAATTTCTCAAGCATAGATGATACATCAACAATTCTGGGCAACCTTATCAGCCTTTGCTTGTCCTGGCACAGGTACATTTAATGCAAATTAGATACTAGATTAAGGTGCATCACGGCACGTCACTGGAACATTAGATGAATTTGCATAATATAACTCATTTCCTCCCACGCGTAAGGAAACTATTCAAACTGCTAACGGAACTGCTCAGCCTATTAGAGGTGTGGGTATAGTCAAATGCATCCTATCAATTACATTATCTTCTGTTCTATATGTTCCATCTTTTCCTATTAATCTAGTATCCATAAGTGCATTGGTGGATCAGATGGATTGTCGTGTTACGCTTAACCGAGAAAATTATTTAATTGAAGATCAAAAGACAGGAAGGACGATTGGGGTGGCATTAGGCGTAATGGCCTATGGTTCTTAGATGGAAAAATAAGTGAGGCCACGTGCACTGCTCTAGCAGTTGCCACAAGTGAAGAAGAGACTAAGGTGATACTTCAATATTGTTGGTTGGGTCATATGTCCTCTGACACTATGTGTAGGGCATTCCCTGATATTATGATCAAGGTTGATAAAAGGAAGTTGATGTGTGATGCATGTGAGTTTGGGAAGCATACAAGAGCCTCCTATATTAGCAAAGGACATCGAAGCACAATGCCCTTTATATTAGTCCATTCTAATGTTTGGACATCTCCCATGGTCTCTATTAGTGGAATGAAGTATTTTGTGACATTCATTGATTGTTATTCTCGCATGACATGGGTATATCTCATGAGGCATAGAAGTGAGGTACTAAAATGCTTCAAAGATTTTGGTGCACGTGTTAAGAGTCAGTTCAATACTCAGGTTCGAACGATTATAACGGATAATGGGACAATGTGTATGTGAATAGTGATTTTGCTACTTTCCTTTCCGCTCAGGGGATATTGCATCAAACTTCTTGTCTAGATACACCTCCACAAAATAGAATAGTTGAAAGGAAGAATCGTCATCTCTTGGAAGTTGCAAGGTCCCTTATGTATACAATGAATGTGCCAAAATTCTTGTTGAGTGAGGCAATTTTGACTGCTACTTATCTTATCAATTGAATTCCATCAAGAATGCTTAATATGAAGACTCCTTATGAAATGCTATTTGAGAAGAATGAATTTATTGTAACACTCAAGGACTTGTTTTGTTAGAGACCATAGACTTTCATTGGGGAAGCTAGATCCACAGGCAGTAAAGTGTATCTTGTGGGGTACTCCTCAACACAAAAGTGGTACAAGTGCTGGAGTCCTAGTGAATGGTGCTTGTTCTTGAGTATGGACGTTACATTTAGAGAGTCTAAGCCCTTTTATGGAGAGAATACAAATTTATGTTCTTTATTCTATGACCTTGACTCACCTAGCATGGGTGGTGATGGTCGAGAGGGAGAGAATGATGGTGATGGTGAGAGGGGGAGAATGAAGCTTCACAAACTAGACAAGGTGATCATCAAACAAGGAAATTAGAAATTGTTATTGAAAAATTCCACAACTGGTGGATGGACATAATCTTATGAGTGTAGAAGAGTCTAGTCAAGAG